ATAAGGCAAACCACCTTGTATCCTTTAGTCATACTAAAAGGTAACATCTACCCACATCTACTTGCATTATCGTTTTGACGAAATTCAGGTATTGCGCTCCCAAAATAGTGTATTTTTACGGTTTTTCACTTTGCCTCCGTTAGGTACCGAATGACCCGTGCAATGTGCAGACCATTAAAGAGATCTGTGCCTCCTTTCCCTGCGTGCGGAGTCCGTCCAGCTTGATCCACGGATTCGAGTGTATTTGCCCCATCGGGTATCGTGCGAAGAGTCAGGCAGAGCCGCAATGTGTGAATGTGGACGAGTGTAGCACCGATTTCAAGATCAAGTCAAACTTCGGCGAAGACGTCTGTATGAACGGGGGTATTTGCATAGATCTGATTCCAAATCCCGATCAAGCTATGATCTTGGGAAAGGCCAGCAAAAATCGTCATAACAGCGAGAATCTGTATGGATTTAAGTAAGCATTTTGGCCAACTATGCCATTAAAAGGAAGCTTTCGTTCACTTGGATTCGTGTTGTTTGACCCCTTAAAAAGATTAATGCTGAAGAGATTCGTTGATCTCGGTAGAAGATGACAGCCGATTCCCATTGTTCTCAGGCTTGCATCGTTTTAGATGAAATTGGGCTGAACTTTCGTCCATATTTTTTTTACCAGTTTTAAGTTAATATTAGATCAAAAAAACTGTTTCGCTCTATCTTGCATCTTATATAGACTAATACTTAAAAATACTGAAATATATACACGTAGATAGAATGATATATAATAATTTGGTCAGTTCTCTTTCATATTAATCATGGTACTTTTGGTTGTGTGTGCGCGTGTATATGTGCGTGTGGGTATTAACCTATTTGCCAAATAAAGGTCCTAAATCAAAGAAATTATAAAAGCTCTGGGCCATCAGACCATACAGACCTTGACGGGTGGCTTCGTTACCAAATCTATATTCTTGCAAGACTAAATCTTCTTCACTTGACCACAGTTGGGTTTGAACCTGCGCAATCTTTGATCAGGCTTTTTCTTGAGTCATTAAGCCTTGATGACCAGAGCCTGAAGATAGTTTTTTTCGTAAATGAGTAGGTTTTCGAGACTTCCAGTAAATCAGATATTTCGTTTAAAGTGCTGAAGGACTG